ATAGGTTCTCTCGCAGTATCACGCCAATGAATATTCAAGGGGGCTTCCGTCTTCGAGCCAAACCGCCTCTCGTTGTTTGCGGAACCTCAGCGGGCACATTCGGTGCCTGTTCTGTGGCCTTGTTGTCTTCAGTTGAGTCTCGGACGTGCAATCCCATTGCTTGAGCATCGTTGTTGTTGCTGTTGAAAGGTAAAAAGGCGCAGCCCAGCAATTTATTGTTCATGCCACTTGCTGCGAGTTTAGTCGAGAGAGCTCCAGACAGCCCACTCTTTATAGGGTATTGGGGCCACTCTTCGATGCTAGCCAGACATCTTTTTTTTATAGCACGGCCGCACCTATTAACGCAGTTGGCTACGTACGGTGCGAAAGAAGTTCAACATACATACATCTTAGAAGAGGTGGGTGCGCCCACACTTTACCCAACCGCACACGACCTTCCGATAAACTTGCTGTGGCATACTCATTTATATTGTTGGGTGGACGGAAGCAGGGAGAATTTAAGATACTTGCCAATTATATTATTGCCACGCCGGAAGATTGAATCGAAACCGGTTACCTCTGGATTGCGAGTCCAGTGCGCAGACCATCAGGTCACCACACCTCCGATTAGCACGGTTGGTCTACGTACGGAGCGAAAGAAGTTCAACGTACACACACACATAACAAACACACCCACTGCAGGATCCCATTGTTGTTGTGATTCTAACATTATTTGAGTCTTCTTATATTGTAGATTACATTCCTGCCATTCGTTTTTTCTTCCCCAATTATTTATTTTAATTTTATATTCTTAAGCATTGCTTGTTTGTTGGATTTTCCAATTGTGTGACATTGACCTTGGAATATTGCGGTATTGATTAATAAATCACAGCAATCTGTATTCCTGTGTGTTTGAGATGAGGCGCAGTGGTTTAAATACTTATTTATGCTCCTGGTGACCCAGTTTACATTATCTGCGGTTCACAACAGTAGCAAGCAGTGGCGTCTATTTTTCTGCTGTGCCTTTCCTAAGGTCAACTCAGCCTTTAAGAGTACCTGGTGTGGTATCTAAACGTCAGCACCGGGTGGCTACGTATGGTGGTGCTGTCCACACCAACCACGAATTTGTCACGCTATACTTAATAGGTACTCACGAATAATAGTTTGCCGCATAGGCTGTAAAAGGCTAAAAGGGAGATATTTATATTTTGCGATTCTGATTTTTCATTAAATAAAAAATATTGTCTTTCTGCTAAACATATTCACAATTTGCTATTGGTGTCTTGTCGCAAGACAAATAATCTATTTGCATCTCTCGCAGAGCAGTGCAGCACTGTGTAGGAGACCAGTTTGAGGAAGGATACTTTATAATGTCCTACCACAGAGAAAATAAATGTTCAACGCGTGCCCATCAAACCAATCGCTTTTTTTTCTGGAATTTTGCCAAATTAAATGAAAGATGAAATGTAGGAATCATCAAAAGTCATTGTGATATTTGGCATTCGAACCATTCTTGTAACACAGGGCTGTTCTGATAGTGCTGTTTTCGGAGGCACAGTCTGCAGTAGTTTCACTGTACGTCACAATTCTATTCTAATAGATATGTGGGTACATTTTCAAAATTCTGCACATTTGGGTCATGTCACCGGCACACGTGGCCTACACCTTTACAAACAACCTAAGGATACCTTTGACTTCCACTGTGAAGCAATATAGAACTTCTTCCGCACCGTACGTAGCCAACCGTGCTGATTGGAGGTGCGGTGCATGTTTGTTGAGCTTCTTTCATACCACCGTGCGTAGCTAACTCTGCTAATCGGGGGTGCGGGAGAAAGACAATAAACTAACACACAACAATCAGTTCTAAAGGAGTGCGTTTTTAAACTAGATTTGAAAGTACATTGTTCCCACTGGCTTCCTAATGACCTCTGTAGCAAGCGGCGAACGCTCTACCGATGGACACTGTGCCCGATTCAAACTCGGCTTTTCAGCAGTAGCGGATCAGCGGCTCTGACCCCTGAGCAGCAGGAGCACATCGTCAATTTTAAATTTAATTCTGATCAATTACCCGGTTTCAATGGTCCACGGGAGACAATACTGCTGATATTTTAACAGACACCCTGAAAATCAGCAAATATAACAAAGCTGTAAATATAAAAGTTTGGTACGAGTCCGACGTGAAATATTTTACTCGTTAAAAAGGTCCTCGGCGCACAACCTTTATTAGCAGTTTTAAATAACGCAACTCTTGTACGGAGCAATAAAATACATATAAGCAGCTAAATTACAAATCAATGTGCAAAACGTACAGAAGAAAATAAATTGCAGTGCCCTATACAGTAATTTAAATTTGAAAATCTATATCGTGCCTCTCACTAAGCAGGGCTTTATTTTATTATTGACAAACCGTATTGACAAACAGGTGCAGGCATGAGCTGTGGACGGATCCTTCGACGAACCATATGGGACATTAATCTCGGCACAATATCCGGACACATCGTTATTCCCTTTTGTCCTTCTCCACTTTCACATGAACTCCCTGTATTTAGGAGGCGGGTGTTGCCGTGCTGCGAAGATCAGCACTGCTGGACTTGCAATACAAGGATCGCCCCAGCTTTGATTTTGATCTCCCGGCGCGGCGGTTGAAACTTGAAACAGTGGTGCAGGTTCATTTTAAATCCTCCCCACCTGCCCGTCTCTGTCCACCCAGAATGAAACAAAAAAAAAACTAACTGGTCCTCCACGGTTCGTTGAAGTGTTTTAAAGAGAAAATACACCGCGTGTGATCTCCCCTCCTGTGTATTGTCTACAGCCTCTTGTCGAGGTGGACCGCTATGCAGCTGATGTCTGCTGGCTCAGTCGCCCTTGAAAAAAACAGCTTCATGGCTCAGTGGGCTTTACTGGGGAAATAAACTTCTAAGTCTGTCGCAGCCATACTCATACGGTACTTGTAAGTCCTCCGCACTCCGTTCTCGCTATGAAGCCATTTGACAACTGTGCAACATCAAGCACACTTCAATAGCTCCGTTGAGATAGATTATTAATTGCGGTTAATTCGAGGTAGTAAGAGACGAAATTGCCGTTGAAGTTATGAGTTGCATATGAAAAAAAACAGTTTTCGACGTTGCATAACATAAAATAATATCGTGGCCCGTGTAATTGTATGCGATTGCATTTTTATTAATTGTAACACATGATGGGGGGTTTGCCATGTTGTAACGGTCAGTAGAACTGGACTTGCAACCCAGAGATTGGCGGTTCGATTCGTTACCCCGGCCACAATGGAGCAAGTTTCATAAATTCGCCCCTCCCCCACCGCCTCCTGTCCACCCAGCCGTATCTAAAAGAGAAACAGGTAGAGCTTGTGGTTAGTCGATCGCAATAATGCCCACCTCCCCCGAAGAAACTGGCAAGCGTGGAAGAGTAGACCATATATACCCCAATACTCTTTGGGGTTTTTTTCGGTAAAGTCACGTAGGTAAAAAAATAAAATGAAAATAGATGGAAACTAAATTAAATCACGACGTTTCGGGCGCAACACAAGCGTCCTTCTTCAGGTGGGGGCAACGTAGCGAAAGCACAAACGACTAAGTGTGTCTCAGAGATGGCTGTGACAAGAGACACACTTTAAGCGTTTGTGCTTTCGCTACGTTGTCCCCACCTGAAGAAGGATGCTTGTGTTGCGCCCGAAACGTCGTGATTTAATTCAGTTTTCATTTATTTTATTGTTTACCTACGTGACTTTACCGAAAAAAAAACCAAGAGTATGAATCCTTGCAGTCACGAAAGCTTCAAATCTAGAATCATATATAACCCCTCCCCCCCCCACTCCCTCCCCGAGTGGGAAGGGCCTTTGTTACCAGCAGTGGCGTGAGCGAGAAAAGTCCTCGAGAATGTAATGTTATAAGGAGAGCGCGCAACTCAAAATATAAATAGACAGCTCTTGTGGACACGCATCTCGCACTGTGCTCATTGTGTCCCACATTAGGGTGAAACTTTAGCGGGCGAAGGGTGCCGGCCGCGCTGTAATGATTCGCTGATTTGACCTTGGAAAGGCCCAGTAGAATTTCCCCCCCCCCCTCTCTGCTTGCCCTCTTGTTGTGAACGGCCGTGGGAATTGAAACCAGGTCACCGGGAGCGATGGAGCAGTGCGAAGACAGCCTGGCCTCTTCTCAAACACACACGCAGGCGCAAGGATTACAATACCATTATGTGTTGATCAGTAGCGTCATATTCCAAGGCCCAATGTTACACGACTGAAAGTCTAATGGACATACACGCATGGAGAGAGAGAGACAGACAGGTGCGCACACAAGCATTGAGACACGAATATGTACACAAAAACAAAGATCACCCGTATAACCTCAACAGATTGTATGGGCAAATGCTGCTAGCGAGCACCGGTGAAGGCCGGCACGGCACACGAGGGGGTGAGTGGCCAGCACCACGCCCGGCCATTTTTTCCTCCCCAGTGGCGATGTTGACACACCGCACCAGGTACTCATTTGAGGCTGGTCCGACCTAGGGGAGGCCCGGGACCGATTCAGATAATCGTCACTGGTGTTGGGCTGAGCGGGAATCAAAACTCGGGCCGCCGGGTTCATAACGCAGCGTGCTAACCATTGCACTACCATTTCCCACATATGTATTTACATATATATGCACATCCATATGTATAACAGAACTGAAATAGCAAAATTTAGTTTCTTCAGTAACTTGAAGAAGCTCCCAGCACGTGGAGAAAACGTCATACATCATGCCAAACCAGCACCCCCGATTAGTATGGTTGGCTACGTACGGTGCGATAGAAATGTTACGTACATACGAAAAATAATGATTTACTTTTGCTTTGCACCTTTGTTCGAACGTGGTTTTAGTTTTGCACCTAGTTATATAGAACTCAACCACTTACAGATCGTCCCTGCAATGATTATATGAAGTCCGTTTGCACATCCCCATTACGTGTTGTCGATTAACAGAATTTTTTTTGTGCCCCCGTATTGTGTCGATTGTTGTTTCAGATTCAGCGGCTGTCGAGCCCTCATGCACCGATCCCATCGTCGATGCCATGCGCTTTGACTGTCACCCAGACGCCAAAGCTTCTCAGGTGCCTCTATTATTCGTGCAGCTCGTGTGTCAAATGGGCACCAGTGTCCACGGTGCATTCAAAACCACGCCAACTGAATACCAAAAACCGGCACACTTGCGTGATCGACTCAGCCTTAAAAAAAGACCAATTGGTGCTGTCTATAGGAATAGGGTTTACGCTTTTTGGCAATAAAACAGGTGTTAAGATATTAAAACACCAACAGATGTTTTGCAAGGAATCATGTCTGCATTAACCACACATACTTGTGGTTGCTTGCATGTCAACCGCATACTTGTGGTTAACATCCAAGCAAAAACATACTCTGGTAATATATCCATTATCTTTGAAACTGATTGGTCCACACCAGAGACAGCGTTCTTTGAGCATCGAATCAAACAAAGAACGCCAAAAGGCGAACAGCGCAAAGACAATGCACTACCAGGGCAGTCTGTAAACATATACGAATCTAGAAAAAACAGAGATAGGTTCCCGCTCATGAGTAACATCAGTGACGATATTCTAAACCGGTCCTGGGCTTCCCCTAGGTCGACTGAGCCTCAAATTAGCACCTGGTGCAGTGTGTAAACATCACCACTGGGGAGACAAAGGCGGTCGGGCGTGGTGTTGGCCACCCACCCCCTCTTGTGCTCAGCTGGCTTCCACGGTTGCCCGCTGACGCCACTTGCCCCAACAGTCTATTTGGCTGGAATAAAATATTTGGCTGCCAGATTATTTGGCTGCTAATCATTTCCAAGGCGATAAGCCACTTTGTTGAGTCCATCACTTGTGGGCCAGGTCGCTTTTGAAAAAAAAAGAGTGTGCAGTGGGCCTTACCTGGCAAAAGGTAAAAAAAGTAAAAAGTCAATTAGTTCTAGTTAATAGTTCTATCAAGGCTTATACGGGGGGGGATCTTTGTACGTCTCCCATGTGTTCATGCAGGAATCTTGCGAGGCCCGGGGCTGCTGCTGGAAAGAATCTGGCACTCCCAATGTGCCCTGGTGTTTCTACTTAAAAAACAGCGGCGGCTATGACATTGTCGGCTCGAGCAAAACTCCAGCAGGTACGTCCCCCCCCCCGCCCCCCTCCTGTATAACAGAAATAATAATCAATACTAACAATGACTCAATTGTTCATGTCACCGCAAGCCTGGTCTAACGCCTCTTGAGCTGAGCCAACATGGTGTTCGCATTTGAACCAAGCTGTTGCGAGGGAGTATATGGCACCACTGATGGAGGTAGCCAAATTATATTTTGGATTAATCCGACACATTTGGAAAATTAAGCCGGGTTATGAGGTCTTCGAATGCACAAAAAAAACCGTGATACCTGACGTTTCTTTTGTGTAAATTATTAGAATCTGAAAATATTCACGTCAATATTATTGTCTTACCGTTGGCACATTATATTCGAATGTGAAATGTCATGAAGAACATTTTCCAAAAATATATATAAAATTATTAACATCTATATGAATACATTATTCAGAGTAAAGGTTTTTGGGTAAGATCGCGTTATTTATAAATGTGTCGTAACCCTGCACCACCCGACACGGACAATCAGCAAAAAAAAGTGTCATGTTGACAAAAGACAATTAGTTCACTACTTTATATATATGTAAATATCGAAAATCTCACAAAATTATCACACGGTGCATACACGGTGATCATTTAAAAATGTAATCATTAAAATCCAAACTTTTACGATTCAAATTGAAATCTGAAGTTGCACGTAAATATACACAAAAACTAAATAACGTAATGTTAAACTCATCGCTAATACGTACTTAATAAAAAAAAAAGCTGCTGCTTTATGCAAACAGAAGCAGAACGAGCCACCCTTAAGCATTGAAGACATCTGCCAACACGTTTGGGCTATCGTGGGCTGTGTGAACCATCATCATCATCGCCATCATGCAATCCGTAACTCAAGGACAATGACCTCTCTTGCATTGGAAGTCAGTAATCCTTCGTCACCTTACGTGGTTGTAGTGTTTGATTCCTGTGAGTTCGCTTGTGACCATGAAGACCGTCGTTAGAACGACACAGCTTTCCGCAGAGATCACATGCACAGTGGCCTCAGGGTAACTCCTGAGATTCAGATGCACAGGTCGACACTCAAACGACTTCTAAACCCGCGTCTCCTGCCTTGTTGCTTCTCCGTGTCTTCTAGACGCTGTCTCTCAGGCAACTGAGTAGCTTCAGCCAAGGCTGTGCGAAATTGCTTTCTGTTCTGGGGCGAGATTTCCCCATGAATCCACAGGAATTCCACATCTTCATCGGGGGGGGCTCTTTAATTTTCTGCCCCAGTGCACTGTGACCGCCACTATATAGTTGTTTTGTGTGTGTGTACGACGTTGATGGCCAATCGCAATGAGTCACGAGAATGCGTGTGACGAGACGCCCCTTCAGTCGTCCGACTTGTGAAAGGCCGATCCGGCTAGCGTCGGCGACAACGCTTCTTGCCTTGGTCTCCACCTCCGTGTCAGCCAAACGAACGCAGCGCGTCGGGTCAAGATCGATGGTGCACGACTGCCGTTCTGTGGCCAATTATGTCTGCTTTAAATTCCCACGCGATAAGCCACCTTTGTCAAGCTTTCATGTGGCCAGGTCGCTTCTGAAAAAGAAGCAATTACTTCAGTGGGTTTTACATGGTAAGATACAAAACAATGGTTAGTTGCATTTTAATATATTTTTAAGTGATTTGTTTGCCTTTTCTATACTTTACAATCCTTTCGTGATTTTGTGTTGTTTCTTATTGCAACGTTCTCTCCCGCCCCCACTCCTCCAGTATAAATACATATTATGATTCTGATATCATCCTCAAAACACATCTCAAATTATCTCCATATGTATATATGGTCTCTATCTACGTATGCATACGTACATAAGACTTTTGTCAATCTACTGCTGGATGGAGACCCCCTCTGCCTCCCCATGCTGTACGGCTATTCAGGGGTTATTTGAACACACTTCATTCCAGTCAGTTCGGGTTGATGAATGTGAGGAGCATAGATTTGTGAGTGTAAAAGTACAGTTGAAAAAAAATCACACCACGTAGCCCAAGAGCGGCATAGAGAAACCTGCTGGGCATGGTGGGCGCGCATCTTAGCACTGTCCAGGTGTTGGACCTGCTTAGCGTCCAAGATCTAACAAGTTCGAGCACATTCCGAGTAATCTGGCCACAGGCGTATGTCTAACTAAGGGCCCACGTTTTTTTTTTCTCTTTTGACAATACACACCGAGGATGCGAAAAAAATAAGGGCACACAATATCTCAGTGTGTAAAAAAACTGATAGAACAAACGACCATGAATAACCAATTATAAGCATATGCACATGTCCCTTTAATTCTTCATGAGAGTGGTATCAATGCGATGATGGATTTACGGGGTGATGAGCTTCAAGCACAGCTGATTTGCGCGTGCATCGCCTGTGGGATATCAGAGCAAATGTGCCAGCTTTCGAGTGGCATGTGGATTCTCCCTGCGATGAGTCCCACACCACGTGCGTTTGTACGCATGCAAAGACAAAGATCCCCCGTATAGCCTGGGGCAAGTGCTGTTAGCGAGCACCTATCAAGGCCAGAACGACACACGATGGGGTGGGTGTCCAGCAATCACGCCTGGCCGCCTTTGTCTCCCCAGTGGCGATGTTTTTACGCACCGCACCAGATGATTTTTTTTAAGCTGAGTCGACCTAGGGGAGGCCCAGGACCGGTTCAGATAATCGTCACTGATGTTGGCCGTGAGCGGGAACCGTACTCGGGTCGCCAGGTTCGTAGCGCAGCGCGATAACCGCTACTCTACCCCGCTCCCCACGCGTGCACACACACACACGCGCGCATGCATAGACACGCACGCGTGCACACACTCCCGATCCCGTGATGCATGGATTAACGCCCTTTCGGGGCCATACAACACATGGTCGCCTTATGTTTCCAGCGCAAAATTATCTCCAGAATGGGAACCGTGTGTGCAGTTATAATCTGTGCTTAAGGTGTCTGTGCGCTATTTTGGTGTGTACCCGTGATGGGTTCAACTCAGATTCACCGGGCGTACGAGTACAGGATAACTCCCCTTATCTGTCACCCTATTTCCTTTAACTCCTATTAATTATCCACATGGCCTATAGCGTCCAGAAAAAGTTATGCTATCAGTGGCCCTATTTTGTTCTACTCTCTCCAATCTTCAAAGTTTTTTTTTTTCCCCTTTCATGAGTTGTTTTCATACAGAACATCTTCCTATCTTTCGTGAATGTTTTCACTGCCAAGTGGAAAATTATTTCTATTATCTGCAATATTTGACAGATAAATGGGGTAAATTGTATACTATTACGTGCAATATTCAACCCCCATGTATAAGAGGAGATCATATACTCTTTGGTTCTTTCGGTAAAGTCACATAGATATAAATTTCATACATCAGACGTTTCGATCGCAACACAAGCGACCATCTTCAGGTGACGGTCGCTTGTGTTGCGATAGAAACGTCTGATCTATAAATTTTCCATCTACGTGACTTTACCGAAAGAACCAAAGAGTATAGATTCCTGCAGTCACGAAAGCTTCAAATCAAGAGGAAATTAACTCAACTAAATGATTTCTCAATTAAATAGTATAAATTTGAGATAGACGCCATCCAGGCATCCACTCTACGTTTGTCCTTGTGGAAGAGGTACGTAGATGACACGTTCGTCATCTGGCCACATGGCTGACCAGCTTTCTGAACCAATTCCTCAACCACATTAATTCCATACACCCAGCCATCAAATTCACCATGGAGGTGGAAAAGGATGGCAAGCTACCATTTTTGGATGTTCTAATCGAAAAGAAACCAGATGGCTCAATGGGACACTCTCTACAGGAAAGCAACTCATACGGATGCCTACCAAAAACCTGACTCACACCACCATCCATCCCAGAATTATTCCCTCATCAAAACTCTACACTATAGAGCTCGATGCATCTCCGACCATCATCACCTAGCCAGTGAACTGAAACACGTGCACCAAGCTCTCAAGATGAATGGATATTCGGACCACACAACCCGTAAAGCTACCACCAGAACCGTTGAGAAAGAACAATCTGAGGACCCAATAAAAACCATTACCTTTTTCATACATAATAGGGGTCACCTATAAGATTTCCATGCAATGCTGCGGCGTCTACAAACTAAGCTGTGTCTGCGGCAGTAGTTACATTGGGGAAACTAAGTGACATGTCTCGGACCGTGTTCGTGAGCATAAGGCAGATTTGTAACACGGTTGGACCAACACGTCGGCCATGGCTGATTATTTTTTCAATGCGGTTGGCTCACACTAAATAGATTTCTCTAAGACCAAGGTACTTTGTAAGCCCACTGGCTATCAATAAAGATTCGTTCATGAAGCCATCCATATATACAGACACAATTTAAACCGAGAGGATGGGTACAAACTCAGCAATCATTGAAAACACGTGGTCGACCAGTTTAAGTCATAACTGGCTGTGATATTCCCATCCTGCCACCTTCCGATGTTCATTTTTTTTTTATTTTCCCTGTGGTTTCAGCTCTCCGATTTCACATTAGCAGGTTGAATTTCTCGCGCCAACGTGGCCACCTCTGGACGCCGACCTCTACGTCACTATGGCTCTGCGATCTCACATCAACACGCTAATCTCTACATTAACATAGCCACCCGCGCACTCGTCACGGAGGCCGCTCTCCGATCTTACATTAACATTATGCTAATTTCTCACATTAACATCACTAGCCCCGCCCACTTCGCTTATGACCCTGGGACTACACCCTATAAAAGTCTGCATTCAGCAGCTTCCCCCCTCTTTCCTCCTGATGGCAATCGCTTTTGTTGTGATCGACACGTCGTAGTTTTTTGTTTATTTTATATTTATTATTTTTATTCACTTGTACCTATCTACGTAACTTTACCGAAAGACGCCAACAAATATAATTAGTATTAAGTTCTTACATTTACAAAAAAAAATCTCATTATACGGGTGGTATATGTGTTATGCCTTGAAATGAAAATAAGTAAATGTAAAATTACGTCAACTAGCAGAGAACTACATTTTTCAGAGAATGACCCTGAACGATGACATAAAGTAATTAACTTTGAAATCACTTAAGTAAACCTGTTTTTTTCTCTACAAAAGGGACACATTTTACATGCCCTGCAAATAGTTTTTTTTCTCATGTCAATCAAGCTGAAATTGTGAAATGTCAAAGGTGGAACTTTCCGTCTAAATCAATCGAAATCAAATTTAACGTGATCGGGTCTTTCGCGTGATCAAGTTTGGGACCATCGACTCACCCTGGAGAACCTGGTTTAATTGCGTGTGTCATTATATGGATTAAAACTCGGGTTCTCACTCGTTATGGCTCGTCGCCTTGATATGTTATTAACCACCTGAAACACCCAGCCACCTACAAAAATAGAGCGCTGCAGGGGCGAGATGTTAACTCCCTCGTCTGATATGCCAGACGGTTGTGGGTTCGATTCCGACCCTAACGCTGATGAATTTGGAGTTTGGATGTTCGCTCCACGGTCACATGGACTTTTCGCTCCACATTTAAAAACATTCATTTACAAAATTTGGCCGCTATAGATTTTCACATGACAAGCCATTTTTTGCTGAGCTATCATTTGTGGCCAGGTCGCTTCTGAGAAATAGCTATAATAGTTCAGTGGACCTTATCCTATATTAAAAAAAAAATAGTTTTAGTTTAGAAATATGCTGATGAAATTAATATATATATCCAAGATAATAATTATAAAATTTGCACAGGGCTCAATTTATGATATACGCCAAGGTCTCTTAAACGGGATAACGGTCACCAAAATCGATAGAATAATCAGCAAAAAATGGGATTTAGATACAAATTAAGATGTGGCAAACTCAGTCGACATTACAATGAGGATAGCACGCAGATGACTGTTGCCGTGTGAGCTTTGCGATCATTTCCAATTCGTATGGCGAGGCTGGCTTGTAGTGCATCTTGACTGAGATAAGATCAGAGCCAATTTGTAAGTGGTTTCCCCGTGCCCAATAAAACATTACAATAAATAAGGATGGAGCATAATTGTTTCTATTTAAATATTCATTCTCAGATATATTTACGATTGCAGCAAGGTTGTAGATCATGCGGACATGTATAGCTGTGAGTCTAAGAAATGGGGATACTTTTTGACACTTGTGTTTAGCTTTCAATTGAGACTAAGACACTTTAATTTCAAACTATATTCATAATAAGTGTTTGTATATGTATCTTTAATTCCGCCAAGCCTCCACAGAGACTATTCAATGGCTTAATAACCTCAATTTACACGTATAACGTTGCAAATTTCACCTTGACATACGAAATAAGATTTCAAACTCTCACGACTCACAGTGCACACCACCTTATGTCAGAGTATAGCCCTGGAAGTTGATGTCACGCAACTACTTAAAAACTCTTATCAATAGACCACTTAAATAGACATTGATATGAACACGTACGTTTCATAAGCATAAGCAATTCACATGAATATTATTTATGCGTTCTTGGTTTCTGGATCATTCCGAAAAATCTGAAAATGGGGCCTAAGCACAAACTTTCGAATGGTCCGAATTTAGTGTTTCATTTCGGATTGGACGGTTTGTGTTAAGTCACTTTTTGAATGTGCTACTTCTAGCACAAAAAACACGTTTAAGTATTACTTCACTTAGATAATATGATTCAAGATTGTTCTTAAAAAGACTAAAATCTGAACTTCGAAATGTGTTAATCCCAAATGCTTCCGTATATTTTCAAAGCACATCCATCGTATATACAAAGTGGCTAGTGATTGCCCTTTCAAGACGGTTAACCAAATTCTACTCAAGCAGTGCCGATGTGCGCTCGGCTAACTCTGCAAAGAGCGGTTGGTGAGTGTGTGCTCCGTGTGTGTGTGTGTGTGCTCCGTGTGTGTGTGCTCCGTGTGTGTGTGCTGTGCACAGGCTTCAAATACGAGCTGAATAGCAACCCGGCCCCAGTAAGGTTTGGGGGCGACATCATCAACCGGCTGCTCCTTGAAGTGGAATTGCAGACTAAGACCAAGCTACACTTCAAGGTGGGCAGGCAGACGGGCAGGCAGTCTTTCTCACTGCTTAAATGCCTTCACTCGCGAAAAAAAAAATCGTTACCATTTGCTTCTGAGCTTAAAGCCACTTGAACGGCATGGTTTTTGCTGCGTTCCATATTTTTGCAAAGTTCAATTTATTACCGTTCGTATAATTATTTCAGAGTTTTGTTGTTGATGTATCGTCTAATGCATGCACAGAATGGTTCACGTATCGATACCCCCAACCAAAAGAATTACGGAAGAAATTAATATTTTACCACTCTCCCCTGTTACACACGGAGCGATTGCTTTGAAGCAGATATCGATATAGTCATGAAAATCAGTGGAGTATCTGCAAATTAGTTGGTGCGTTCGTGGTTTTTAATTAATCCCAGGGCCCCACTTGATTTGCTTGGAGGTGCTATGCATTCTTTAAAAGTTATGGATGAACTACCACAAGCCCAGCAGCACACGCCTATCTATCCCTGCTCAACTCGGCTCTTCGTCTCACAGATCACGGATGCCACGGCATCACGCTTCGAGGTGCCACTGGTACCACGGTTCACGGGCGTGGCCGCCAGCGAGACCCTGTACGGCGTGGAGGTCACCGAGAAGCCGTTCGGCATCCGCGTCATCCGCAAGGCCACCAACATCGTGCTGTGAGTCGCCTCGCCTGGGCCCCCACTCGTCACTTCACCCCTCCCCCACCCACTCTGCTCGCTCCGCTTGTGGACCGTGCGGTAAGCCACTGTTTCTGTGAATGTTGTAAATTTTTGTGGGTTTACTCTCCAGCACACCAGTGTGCTGAAGTAGTAGCTAATGGGCACGTTTTGTTTACATGACGAACCTTACTAATTGGCTGTGTCGGGTGTTGGTGGATAAAGGACACATTTATATTTACACGATGTAACCAATTATAAAGCTACACGAACTCTCTCCTAAAGCCCTCTCGTGGCTATGAGTGCTTCAAAACAATGTTAACACTTAAATGGGACTATCATTTTTAATGGGAAAAGAACGGAATATGCACTGTAACATGATAACGAATGTAATGTTAATAGCTTCAAAAAGTCAAAGAGTCTCCACATATTCGCCATCATTGTCAACACATGCCTGGAATCTTCTCCAGGTGGTCTCCAGAGATGTGCACTTCTATGAAGCCACATCTATCCTTTTTTAGCAACAGCAATCTGGACTGACCACCAGAGTAAATTGTCGTCAGATGAACTTCGTGACACAAGGTGCGTGGAGGGGGCCTCATGCAGCAGTGCATAATAAGTACATTATACATGTCTCAGATCTATTTGCTCATCTTGTTATGATTCAATTGGCGATTGCTAAAATGTTATTGTCATGATTTAAATGTAATTTTACCACACCTCTGAGTAGCGCAGTTGGCTATGTACGGCGTGAAAGAAGTTCAACATGCGTACATCCATTTGATGATTTTTTTTTTACTTTTTTGTCTCGTTTTTGGACATATCATGAGGATTGTTTGTTGTATTTTTTTTCCATCTTGTTTGTAAAGCTTGAGCTGCTCCATCTCCCTCTCTCTTCTGTTTGTCTTGGTGTGTGTCTCGCTCGGTGTGTTTCTGCGTGTGTGTCTGCGTATTTTGTTTCTGTGCCTGTGTTTTATCATTATTTCTTACCTGATGATGGCTGCTTGTGTTGCAACCGAAACGTCGTATTCCATTATTATTAGATTTTGTTTTCTACATGACTTTACCGAAAGAACCAAAGAGTCCATAAATGTAATTTAACCATATGAATGGAATTAATTGTTAATAATTGATCTCCTATGTAGTATGCCATGCATGTGTCATGAGTGAACACATTCATTTGCTAATCAATGAGCAACAGAATGAGTAACAGTACAATACACGTTTGTCTGTCATGCATTCTGCCATAGTTTGCATTATCATGATGCTTGTTTACCCAGGAAAGCCTCAATGAGTCTCCCGACTCTTTTTCAGGAGGGTCCTGCCAAGTTTTTGCAGCAGGGGAGTGATGGTCGCTATGTGTATTCCAATTGAGTCGTTTACAATGCAAAATGGGCAAATTTTGACCATGAAGCTGGCACACAATTGCCCACTCTAGCAAATGTTGTCAGGGGATCTTTCACGTCCACTGTGAAGCAGATAGCGTGTAGTGTAATTGTGGATATTACACAACGCGGTATTAACCAGGGAGGCTCCTACTGGATTCGAACCATGGACCTGTGCAACAGATTCAGAATATGTATTAGTTCATACTGGAAGAATCCGATGAGCTATAAAGCTCTGTTTCGCAGTGGCAAATGCGTTAGCGCTATGCCACGTCACTGCCCTCCGCCGTTAAGGGGCATTCGCCAAACTGGCGAACTTTAATGGAAAATCAGCATTTGCACGAAAATGTTGTTTGATTGTCATCATTTAGAAGGAGGGGGAGCTGACCGTTCAGTCTGCCACTCCTGACACTGCAGGGTCACCTTTGCCCTTGGTCGCGCAGTACAATAGTCAGGGACCCTCTCGCCCCCTACCCCAGGGGCCTCCGCACCTCCGATTAACACGGTTGGCTACGTATGGTGCCAAAGAAGTTCAACATACTGTACACACATACATACAGGGCTAGATCCATCTCACTCTAATTCTGTGTCATGTCGTTTCTCAAAAACATCAGTGATCGTGGCCTCCCTTCAATTTAGCTCAGTCCATGATATTTACACAATTACTTAGCATTAGACACCCAAAGTTGCATTAAATTGCTCAAATTGCTTTTGCGCTTAATTCGCTGTCTTCCCTGGATTCTTGTATCTCTAGTTTTCCCAGTCAAAACAATGCATTCAGTAAAGACCTGCTGTAAAATCAAAACAGTTCAAACCAAAAACACCGGGCGCTCGCGTGCTGAAACCCGGTGTCACACTGAAGATTTGGTAATAAATTCGAGATTAAATAGCGATTCTGGCTTCTATAATGCTCTGAGATTCTCTCAATCTCCGGGCTGAGTAGTATCGCTCCATTGATTGCATGTTTAACTTGCTGCCAAGGTTCATGCCTGGGGTTTTTTTTTTGTTATCCCTCCACCCTGTCTTTATGGAGCTCTGTTTGCTCGACTGAAGCAGATTTTAATCATAAAAGGTGCCCGCTAGACCATAGCCAAAATGTAGTTATTTCCAGAGATTTTTTTTGGCTCTGTTTTTAAAGAGGTTATTAATGCCGTTTGTGGCCTGTGCTATTTTGTTCTCTCCCCGAACGCCATCCTGGTATAAGCCGCAGGCTATCCTGTATTTTGATCTGTTTTATTATTATTGTTATTATTATTGTTAGTTCTTTATTTATTGTTTTTGGTCACATCGTAGGCTGTGAATGGCCGATTGCCAAGGGGTGCATATTCTGAATTGGTTTGTGAAGCATTGTGTCTGTGCCACATCCGAATACTTACGGTATATGTACTGTATGTAAATGAAAAAAATTAAAGTCTTTGTGCAGTTTAATCGTAATGAACGACCTCCATAGAAGTGAGACAAACCACAACCGCATGATTGTTATCAGGAATTTATTTAGAAAACTTTACAATCAGACGAGAGAGTGTATTTTATTGTTACATTTAAAATGTGAAGGCATGTTAGGAAAATTAAATCATTTCTAATATGTATTCAGACAATATGCATGCTCATAACAATCCAAAACAGTATTTAAACTAGTGTTTATTATAAATTATGTATGAATACAATAACCTCGAACATAAAATCGTATATTTTATTATTTTAATCAAATAGCCCCACGTAATTAATATCCACACTCATATCCCAAAACATAATTTAAACCTGTGTTTATTATATAATATTTGTGAATTACAATAACCTCTAACATCAAAACATGTATTTTATTATTTATATTAAATTAGCTTCACATGTAATGAAAAAATAATAATTTTAGTATGATAGGTAATACATATAACATAACGTTGAATGTGTGTATTTTCTATCCCAGTTATAATATCTATATATCCATAATAGAGGTTGTTGGGTTAGATTGCGTAACTATTAATGTGTCATTAAACCCGCCACCACTCGACAAAGCAAAAAGTAAGGTTTGTCACGTAAACAGAATATGCCAATTCGTTCCTAGTACAGCACACCAGTGTGTTGGAGCGTATACACACAACATTTACAGTTCGAGTACGACATTTTCGCCAGTAATTACGACTAGCATCATCAGGTGACAGACAGAGTTGTGGAGAAATCCTCCTGTTTCGGCCTTAAATAGATGGATAAATGCGAGCCAATCAGGTGGGAAGGCGAGAGGAAGGGGGCGTTAATGCATATCAATTACAATGGATATACATCAGCGGTTAGGTTATTCAGAGGGTAATCAACATAAAATATACATGCACAGCCTACGTATTCAACGAATATCGATTTATTTACAATCTGGCCGAGTGCCACTTAGGATGGGGCACACGTTTGGTTTCAGGAATGCTGTGGTTTGTCATAAGGTAATTTGCATGTAAAAGCAGAGCATTGCGAGGCTGACTCAGCCTGCTATTGCACTGCGGATTAAATGAATGTGGAATTACCACCGCCGGCTTACAGACGCCAAAAATAAACAAGCGTTAACCCATTGGCCTGTTTTTTTTTTGTTTTTGTAGGGATATACTTTGCCGTACAATTTGTTTTGATCAATCCATAATAGCTGTACTATATCTATATATATAGTTTAGAATCAATTAACTTCATGCCTTTACTCCCAGCATAGAAATGTCCATCGCAATGTAATATATATAATCTATAACCACAACCGTACAAAACAAAAAGACCTCAATGTCATGATGTTGCATAGTTTTTTTTTTATAATTTAGTCATGACCAGTGATTCAAATAATGATAAAACATCAACATAAAGCCGTGTGGGTGGATGGTATAGGCCTATTCTGTATTGCTTTTTTTTCTTCCTTCAAAAATGTATTTTATCATTACCAAAAAAAACCCAACAACCCAACTTTCAATTTGAGTCCCAGTGAAATGGAACAGGGCTTTCAGTGTTACTTGTGGATAAAAATGTGAGAGAGGATTTATAAAATTGGATTTCACCTTGTAATGTTTGTGAGCGGAGGCCAAACTGCAACGGCACACACAGAGCTCGGTGCATTGCTCTCTTTGTTTGGCCCTTCAGCTGGAATTTGTGTGTCAAGGTTGCCTGGTTGTTCAAGATACCAACAACAACAACAAAACATGCCTCGTCATTATCCATACTTCCATTATCCATTCTTTGGGTGGCTGTGTCTGTCCTCATTCACCATGCTCTGGGCGATCATAAACATTATTTCGTTTCCCCCATAGCTTCTATGTTCCCGTCTCATCTTGCTGAGTCCATTTCTCCTCCACCTCTGTGTTGCTGTGTCCGTCTCCCTTCTCCCCGTCTGCTCCTCAGCTTTGCATGCTCTGGTTGCCAAATATTAATGTGTGGCCTTTGTGCTGGATCAGGGAATAATGCGATGGGCTTATAAGCTGTTCACGCCCGAACTTGCAGAGCCTGTACACGGATCTGGGCTTCAAACGCACACGGAGGTGAACGTGCAAAAATATGCAGAAACACACACTCCTTCACATTATCAATGCATCATAATCTATCACTGTCGGCATCCTCGGTTCCGTAGATTAGTTTGTATGAAAGAAGGTG